AACCAAACAACACTATTCGGTTCGGTTCGGTCAGTTTTTTTGGTTTTATCCGAATAATGCTCACCCCTAAACAAAAGGTTCATTCGAACCTGAAAGACTACACCAAACGACATGAACACTGAGCACAATATCTTTTTTTTTTTTTGATAAACCAAAAATTATCTCAAATGATCTTCAAAGTTTTTGTAACATATTGTACTTCAAGTCCACGAGCAAGGTCCAAAGAAAAGCCCCACCACATACAAGTAAAAGTTTACAGTAAAAAGCTGATTATTCAGAGCAAGCACACCCCTCGAGCTTTCTACATGACCTCATCCATTGTTACAAATCGACCCTTATCTATTGGCAGTTGCGCGGCAACTCCATCTTTCAAATTCACAGTTGGAGCTTGAGCACCATTTGCTCTAATTCAAACAAAAATTGAAAATGTTCCAAATAGCTAGAACCGTGATGCAGTCCATTGTATTTTATGCGAACATCCTCAACTTTCAGTGTTTTAACACCATCTCGCCCTTCTACTCGTGTTCTCCAGCGAACAATGCTCTCTGGTACAAATGTGAAATGCCTCACCCTTACCAAGGTCACCAACAACAGATATCTCTTGTTCATTTTTACTGCCTTCAGCGAACATACAAAGATCAAGCATACCCCGAGCACCATTTTCGAATTCAACAATTACATATGCATTGTCGATTATATCAGGCGCCTTTCCATCATATATTTCATCTTTATGATTTATGTCAACGCCACCAGACGCATGACACGGACTGTATTGGCACCGGAAAATAACCTCATTAGATCAAAAAAATGGCAGAATTTTTCCACGAGTGTACCGCCGGTGTAACGATTCCAATTGTTGACCTTGACTAGAAACGGGAATCAGTGTTCCCGAATGGAAACCATCTTGACTCGTCCCAAAACTCCATCTTTCACCAAATCAATCAATTTAGCGGTAGACGGCATGTATCTGTATTCTAACCCGACTTGTACTAGAACATCCGGTCTCTTCGCAGCAGCATCTATGACCTTTTTGCAGTCTGTAGCAGTTGTGTAGAGCGGCTTTTCCACCAAGACATTGTGGGGTGTTGGGTGACTGATAATATCCATCAATATGTCAAAGTGAGTCATATTTGGAGTTGAAATAATCAACACATCACATATCCCACTATCCAGCAGTGCCTTGTGACTGGAGAAGACATGAATTGGTCAATCGAACAAGTTTGCAAGATTCAAGGCCTGGTGTTGGGAAGGCACGTGGGGATCGGCTATAGCGACCACGACAACACCTTCATTCTTGAGGTGGTAAAGATTAATGAGATGCTCTCTTCCCATCATCCCAACTCCAACTATCCTATATTTTGTCATTCTAACTGTTAATTAACAAACACAGTAAATGTTGAAATTCGGAAATAAGAGAAAATGAGATTAATGCCCGGGGCTCGCGGAGGTCGTGGCTGAGAGAAGCACTGTCTGTCCCGCCTCTCGACGGCATCTCGTTACTTCTGATTGTGGACTACACCGACTAAATATCACGCACCGTGGTTCACGGACCGATTTGGGCCTGCCGATGGTTTCCGGGTTGTGGTCGGGTTTCCGGCTGAGGAATAAAACCCGCTTCTGGGGGTGAAAAGGTGTGGCGACAGGAACTGGAGCCTCTGGCCGAGATGGACACCAATTGGTATGGTTTCCAAAAGAGTACTGAGCACAATATCTAACATATACAATGACAGTACACACCTTTGACTGTGGTACCTTTGCGGTTCACAAATCGAAAAATTCAAATAGAAATTAGTCAACCAATTAGGGAAAAACAAAACCTAGACATTGAAGCCCTAAAGCAAAACAAAATCGAGGAACAAAGGAAAAAAGAAAGAAAGACGGAAACTCACGTTCTCTTCCTTCCATTTGATGGGCTGAATGGATCTTCCCAAAAAACAATCACAGTTATTATGAAAAAACAATGATCAAATAGAGAAATCAAATTGGAAACGAAATCTGGATAAATAAAGTAAAGCTCAATCGATGAAATGAGCATCTGTGTTCTTTGATTTGAATTTTAGTACCATTTATCTTTCATATGTTCCCCAATTTCATGAGAATCAAACGTCTTCGAAAGAAAAAAAAATGGGCGATTGATAGGAATGAAGAAGAATTTAAAAGTGTTTGAGATAATTTTCACAGAGGAGAAAAAATATGAAGATGATCGATGAAATTTCATACAAATACAATTTAGTGATAATTTGTGGTTTAATTTAAATAGATAAATATATTTAGGTGAAATAATAATATAAAAATAATTAAACACCTCTTATATAAATATATTAATAGTTAAATAATATATTTTATAATTTATTTTCAGTAAGGATAGTTTAGTATTTACACAATTTTTTTTTCGATTTTTTTATTAATTATTTCAAATTTGGGACACATGGCATGATTTTAAGAGATATTTGATGTTAGATAGGTACGAAGTTGGTACGAGACAAACCTGACTATAGAATGTCCAAGTATTTATATCCATGAGTAAGCATTACAATTTGAAAGTACATATATCCGTTGAAAAGTTGAAAGATGGACGGATGTACATGGGGCCCAGGGGGGCCCGTGGAAGGTCCACTTTTTTAAAAAATCAATATATATATATATACTAGTACAACTCCCGTGTATTACACGGGTGCTTGCTAATTTATTTTCTTAAAATCTAAAATTAAGGAGAAAAAATAGTTAAAAAATTAAGTACCTTTTATAAAAATATATATTATTATATATTTAGTATGACACTTTTATATTATAATAATTTATTTAACTTACAACATATAACTACATTAAACATAAATATATCAATTGAGAAATAATTTAATTCTTCTAATGAATTTTAACAAATATAATTATTTTTTATTATTATAAATATAAATATAATTTATTTATTTCAATATATACAATATGGATGTCAAATCGAAGATCATCAAAAGATGACTAATTTGATATATTATATATGTAAAACAGATAATAAATACAAAAGTTATCAACTTTTAAATACATTTATATTTCAATAGCTAATTGAAAGAAACAAATCAAAAGTCAGGGATATATTAATCACTTAGTGTCTCACTATGTAAAATTATAAGGAATTAAAGGGTTATATTAGTACAAGTGATATTAAAATACTTAAGTTAGCTAAACAGAGCCCGTGCGCAATGCACGGGTTGCACAATTTTAAGGCTATTTATCCAGACTTATAATTATATATATGAATAAAGAAAAATATACGGGATATATATAGTACTTGACCCGTGCAAGGCAGGAGATATATTTATTTGGGGAATATTATATTATAAGATACAATATTAAATAAAAGTTTTATAATATGTAGGAAAATTGTACAATAAGATAATATAACTTATAATTAGTAGAGTAGATAAATATCTGTTAAGATTGTTAAGAAAAAAATCTTGATATTTGGAAATTGCTAGAGGAACAAATCAGATCAAATTTTACATACAGTTAGATAAAACTTTTTGTACAAAGATAAGGGGAATTTTCAATATACACAAACTTTAAACATGATATGTATTGATTTACGTAAATCACAATCTATATTCTATATAGACAACCAAACTCTTCAATTTAGACTTGAAATCTATATTTTTGGCTGAGATAAAATCAAGATTTTATCTTGACCAATCAAATCAGCCTTTTTTTTTTTTACGTACATTTTTTTGTTGCACCGATTTTAGGGGAAAAAACAATTAAATAAAAATTAATTGATGGAAATAGAATGCATTAATTACCTTTAACTTTTCTTCCTACTAATTTTAGTAAATAAGATGGCTCTTTATATAAGTATAGATATCAATATTATTTGTCCAAACCTAATTACAAAGCATGATTCTTCGCCAAGTAGGATTCTGAAGCACCAGAAGCAGCCACGTAGGCTCAGTGCATTCGGGAATTATATATAGGGAGGATATATATATATA